GGTTAGTAGGAAAGCCATTCTCTTCTAGTGTTCTATGTATCTTGTAAAATTTAACAATATAAAGATTAATTTATGGACTGAATAATTTCTAATGAACCAGATTATTTTTTCTTTGCAGATATGTATCACTGTGATTAGCACAAAGTGTGCATGTCATCACCATCCTATATTATAGATGAGGAAACTTGAGACTCAAGAAGTGAGGAATTTGTGATTCAGACATTTGGTGGGTGACACAGCTCCAGTTTGAATGAACTGAACAGATTCCTAAACAAACATGATGCTCCTTCTCTGTTGTCCCACTGATGGGAATCTGGGACACAGAGGAAGGGGTGGAACCACTGTAGAAAGTGTATTACAAAAAGATGTTTAGGACTTTACCATTTTACAGAGTTAAAGTTGTGCCATTTTGTTTCTTGCTTAAACTTGGGCCATCTTTAACCAGTAGTTGGGTTTGAAGAATGTTTGTGTATGTATGAGTATGGTAAAAATAATCATAACAGTAAAGTGAAACTATCATTGAAACTATCATATTTAATATCCCACAAATGATTATCTTTGAGATTTATTAAATTTGTTTTGAGCTGTCGTTTAAACAAGGTAGCAGGTCAAACAGATTGACCCAGACATACAAACCATTAGATTCCCCCAAACACTAAATAGAAAAATATCATACAATGGCAAGAAAAGAAAGCAAACTTTTTTTTTATTTGTTGTGTTTCTGGGTCTTTGTTAAGAAAATTTTGGCCTGTGCCAAGGAGTCCTAGAGTTTCTCTTATTCCATCCTGTATTGCTATCAGGGTATCGGCTTTTACCTTGATGTCTTTCATCCATTTGGAATTGATTCTGGTGTAGGGTGATATATAAGGATCTAGCTTTAGTTTTCTACAGGTGTTTATCCAATTTTGCCATCACTGTTTGTTGAAGAGACTATATTTCTTCCATCTTTTTTTGGCTCCGTAATTGAAGATTAGGTGGCCATAGGTCTGTGGGTTCATTTCTGCTTCTTCAGTTTCATTCCATTGGTCCTCAGGCCTGTTCTTGTCCCAGTACCAAGCTGTTTTTATTACAATAGCTTTGTAATGGAGTTTGAAGTTTGGTATTGATATTCATTCCTCCAGCACTGTTCTTTCTGCTAAGTATTGTTTGTGTTATTTGAGGTCTTTTATGTCTAGGATAGTCCTAGCAGATGAGCAGAATCGCTAAATAGCAATGTACATATGGCCATATGAGATGGTGCTAAGCGAAATGAACTCCAAGGCATGGAAACACGAGGTTTTTCTTTGTTGTTGTTGTGATTTTTTTCTTTTATTTTTTTTCCCTATGTCTCATCCCTTCTTGTCATTGTATTTGATTTTGGTACCCTGGATTTTGTATATATATTTATCTGAATTAGTGAAGGGAAGGAGAACAACAAAGGACAGAGGACAAGGGTGAATCAATGCAACAGCGATACTCATAAGACAATATATTGGAAATGAACTGTACAACTTGGAGGGGGATTGAGGGGGAAGGAGAAAAGAGAGGGAAGGGTAATAAGTTCCACAAGAAATGTACTCACTACCTTATGTATGTAACTGTAGCACCTCTGTACATTACCTTGACAATAAAATTAAATTAACAACAAATAAAGAAAACAAGAACAATAATAGCCTCTTTCCCATAGAAAATTAGGTTTAAAAATAGAGCCAAGGGCTGGGAAGGTGGCTCAGTGGTAGAGTGCTTGCTTTGCAAGTCCTGGGTTCGATTCCTCAGCACCACATAAGCAGAAAAAGCTGGAAGTGGTGCTGTGGCTCAAATGGTTGAGTGCTAGCCTTGAGCTGAAGAACTTAGGGACAGCACCGAGGCCCAGAGTTCAGGCCCCATGACCTACAAAAAATAAATAAATAAATAAAAATAGAGCCAAGTAAATACAGATTTTGAGCTGTGATTTTTTTATTGGTATTTCCTTAGAGACTACTTGGATAATTTCAAGTAGAATGTTTAAAAAATTCTCTGTATATATCACACACTATTAATTTTATTAATCTATAATGCATAATTTCTATCATCACTATAAAATGCAATATGTTCTTAAAAGTTTTTCATTACTTTCATTCACTCACTCCTATTGAATTAAGTCATGTCAATGGCCACTGGGTAATTTTCCTAAACTACTGATCTTATAGCTTGAAGTGATAATTTGGAGAATGTGTTGACCTAGAACGAATGCATCTATAGTTTTGGTTTACATAATCACATGTGTATCTGTTTATGTATGTTGTGCCTCACAAATAACTACAAGCTTATTTTGTCCTGACTGGAGGAGAGGAAGGAATGACCCACCTGGAAGCTGCCTTTGTGTGGGAAGAGAAAAAGGCTGATGCTTAAAGGCCCTTCAAAGGAATCCACTTGAGCTTCATACCAGATTTGGAAGGGCTGGTTATACCTGCCTAATGCTGACACGGCAAATATACTACTGAGGCAATCTTTGTTTGGAGATACTGAGCGTAGAAGTTCTACTGTAGAACTCCACTGTAAGTCTGATTTGTTCCTTTCTTAATCTAAAGCATTAAAATGCATCTCAGTTATATGAATAAGGACATGGGAAGATCATTTCCTACTTGGAAACTTCATTTTCTACTTTCAAACTTGGTGGATTTACCTTCTTTCATAAGCAAGTGGAGAGTAGGGGAGGGATGGAAAAAGGAGGGAGGGAAAAGGAAGTGGAGGAGGAGATAAGGGAAGAAAGGAAGGAAAGAGAGGAGAGGAGAGGAAAGGGAAGAAATGAAGGAAGAAAAGGAGAAAAAAGGGATAAAAGGAGGATAGAAGTATAAAAGGTAAAGAGCAAGAGAAAGAAAGGAAAAAGAAAGGCAGGAAGAAAAAGGAAGGGAAGAGAGAGAGAAAGAAAGAAAAGGAAAAAGAAGAAATTCAATCTTGAAGGGATTGGATCTTTCTTTGGTGCCAGGAAACTCTCAGAATGCATACTTTTGTGACCACTTATTTTATTTCTGGCAGTAAATAAACCCCTCAGGGAAGATTTTAATTTATCTGGCTTATTCAGTATATTAAATTACACTATTTCATACTCTGGTGGCCTGAAAAAGTTAATTTGCCATCTGAATGGTGTGAATGATGAATACTTACACGAAATCTTGGCACTTTACGATATTCAACATATATTTAATAGTTTTGCTTAGGTGTGTTTTATTTCTTATTGGTATCTAGGGAAAGGAAAGCAGAATTGAGTGTTGGGGTAACAGGACCATTATTGACTAAGATGTCATCTCATAGTAAGACATATTTTGACAAAGAGCCTTGACACTGGGAGGCAGAAAGAGAGAGAGAGAGAGAGAGAGAGAGAGAGAGAGAGAGAGACAGAGACAGAGAGACAGAGAGACAGACAGAGACAGAGAGACAGAGAGAGAGAGACAGACAGACAGACAGAGACAGAGACAGAGAGAAAGAACATCAGAAAGGAAACAGAACAGAAGTCCTGAAAAAGAGACATATGCTTATGCCCTTTTTATCTGGGGCACAGTGACTTTCTACCTCTTAACCTCAAATTTCTCAAACTTCCATGTGTTCCTGCTCCAGCAATACTTTCTGAGCTATTCTGGAAGGATGGAATGGGGTTGGAAAATCAAGAACTTAGTTTTATTCTTCTAGATATTTTGGTTGTCTGGGACAGTAAAATAACTTGAATTAGTTTTAAAATGCAATATCACTTGTGGAAGAAAAGTCCATGACAATTTGTCTGTTTTAAACGATGGGATGGACAGAAAGAGGCAAACACCTGCTCTGCATTTTATATGTGAAATAAAGTCCATGGGACTTTTAGATAGGATAAAAACATGACTTCTACTTGCAGGAGGATACCTACACATACTTACATTTATGTTTCTCTGTATCTGTCTGGGCGCTATCCTTTAGCTTTTTAGCTCAAGGGTTGCCCTTTACCACTTGAGCCGCAGCTTTGCTTTCAGATTTTTACAGGTGGATTGGAGACCAGAGTCTCATGGACTTTCCTGCCTGGATTTTAACTATGATCCTCAGATCTCAGCCTCCTGAGTAGCTAGGATGACAGATCTGCACAAAAACACTGGCGCCTTTTGTTTTCCAAGGAAGCAAATATATTAATAACATATGGTAAAATTGGGTGCTTCTTTGAGAGTGTACATGTGTCTTTGTGTTCTAAAAATTGCTTGGTGCACAACCCCTAGATTTCACCTTTCCATAACACGGAGGTGTGGCTAAGCAGCAAAAAGGCCCTTCTTGTTTTTATAGCTCCAACTAAAACAAAATGAAAGTGAAAAAGAAAAGACAACAAGAACTCTTGAATTATCTGCCTGTGTAGCAGATAGGCTGGTAAAGTGCCAGGTGCCTGAGGGTTGTTGCTAGTAAATGTTGGCTCTGTCTGTCCACTGGATCAGCTGAAATGAAGATGTGAGAGTTGTGGAATGCAGTTGACTCTCTGATTCTCCCTCGGAGGGAGGGATCTGAGAAGACTCCAGGCCGAATACAAGCCCATCAGGCCCATCTTAAAGCCCTGCAGGTACCTCAAGTCTACCTGGCTTTTACCCGGGGGCGGGGAGGGGGGGCGGGAAATGAACTGTGCGGTGCGACCCAGCAGGGGGAGTGGGTGAGCCGGGCCCCAGGGCCTCCCAAGTATATCCCGGGGTGTGGGGATGGGTGTGGGGCAGTTGGGGTGGGAACAGCAGGAGGTCACCCCCTCTGAGTCTTGTGCCTCTTTGCTGGGGTGTGTGCCGAGGGATCGAGGATAAATAGGAGCCTCCCTCCTCTCGGTCCAAGCCCTCTGGCTGTCCGCCTGCCTGGGTGTTTCCCTGCCTGGTAGCCAGGGTGCCAGCACGGGCAGTAGTAGTTTCGCTTCCTCCTGGCTCCAGGGTTCGTTTCTAGGCACCCTCGCGGGTGCCCAGGGCCCGGGAAGGAGGCAAAGGAGGAGGAGGAGCAGGGTGTCTTGTCCTCTAGGGGCTGTCTGGGCCCCCCGCAGAGCCGGGTTGATGGACCCGGTGACCCCGGGCAGCAGTACCAGCTCCTTGCCACTGCTCCTGGCCCTGGCCCTGGGTAAGTGACCGCGCGCTGGGCACTGGAGAGCGCAGCAGGAAGGACGCGGGCTGGAGAGCCTTGATCCATGCTGGCACGTGGATAAGAGGGCACGCTTGGGCTAGCCGCGCCGGGCAGACAGCTTTGATGGCTGAGAGAGAGCGAAGGTGCACCTGGGCTGCACCTGTTGGAGGTTGTTGGCAAGCGAGGGAGGCCTAGGGCGGAAGGGAGCCCGGGCCCAGCTGCTGGGGCTGCGCTCAGGTGGCTCAGCGCCCGCCGGGGTGCGCTCGGGGCTCTGGGGCCGCCGTGCAGGGGAGTGAGCAGCGCTGGGAAGGAAGCCCGCTAGAGAAGGCGCCTGGGAATCTAGACTGGGGATATGCGCGGGATCTAGAGGAAACCAACTCGGTGGAAGATCTTGGCGGGGGTGGGGTGTGGGGTGTGTGCAGAGTCAGGAGAAAGCGATCTGTGCAACAGACTGGGGAGACGCTGCCGCCGAAGAGACCAGCCATAGCTTAGGAGTGACTTATTCTATGGTGACCTATTCCATGTGATTCCGCCCCACCTCCTCCCCTGGAGCAGTCGGGAGGACCTGAGAGGCAATAGACTCCACTTGGGCCACCTGATTCTCTAGCAAAGATAAGGGAAGTAGGTTACCCAGCCTGAGCTACGATGATACGATGATATCTCCTGCTTCTAGGGACCACCACACGTGGGGAAAAAATGGGACTGCCCCTACCGAGGAAAAAGAGGTGGCATCTAAATGCCAGTTTTCATTAGTCTTTGGAGTGAGAACCTGTTGTGAACTTGGTTGTAGATAGATCAGAGTTAGGTCCAAGGTTAGAGAGAGAGGACTGATTCATTATTCTTGTGGAGAAGAATTCAGTATCCACATAGTGATAAAGAGATGTGGAAAATGAAGAACGATCCACCAAGAGATCCATGCTTGGAAGCAGTGCTAAAACTTTTGTCAGCATCCCTCGGATGCAGCTGGCACTCGCCTCCTCTGTCTTGTCTGATTTGGCCAGCAGTGGAGGTACTCACCCAGAATCGCTACAGTCAGCAAGATGGTGAAGTATGTAGGAATGGGGATGGGGAGAGGATCCAAGAGATTCCTAAGATGTGATTCTTGCCCTGAAAGAACTTACATCACATTTGGGAATGTAAGACTGACAATAAGAAACAGCCAGGCAAGCTCATGAAACTAGAGAAGGTAGAAAAAACCTGAGTGGGTATACCACTCCTGCATGGCAAGACTGGAAATGGAAGGGAAGGGTGACAGACAGGGGGAACACATTTAGTAGTGGGATGGAGATTTCTGGCCTACCAGAAAGAGGAATCTATAGAATGTAGATAAATTATGAAGAACACACAACAATCTAGATGAAAATTTTGTGGCAAAAATCAATCAATCAGTATAATCAATCAATAAACATACCATCAGAAGGCTTGAATAGGGAGAAATGATGCAAACAATGAGTTAAAGTGCATGAGTCTGGTAATGGGGAGAAATGTGGGAAGAAGGGAGAGAATTATGGGTCAAAGGACCTGACTGTCTCCTCAGTATTCTTCAGGCATGTGTTAAATAGGGGCCAATTAGGGTGCTGGGCCAGCAGAAGGTGGTAGGAAAGAAATGATTATTCAAAATTGATGGACATTTTGACCCCTTTATCTCACAGACTTTATTCTGTTTCTCTTCAAAACTTGTCAAGAAACAGACTTGAGGAAATAAAACAAAACTGGAATCCAGTGCAATTCATATTCAGCCTACACTAAATGTAGAACAACCTTGTGGAATGATTGGCTTGGGAGACTCAGGTCTGTCTGAAGTCCTCTGAAAGGCTCTTATTTCTTGCAAAATGCCAACAGGCATCATTTGCTGGCATCATGGTTTTCATTAGGTGCTCTTATTTCTATCATATGAGCTTTACCTTTAATTAATGTAAGCCACACGTTATTTTATTTACTTTTGAAAAGAATGTGATCAGTGCAGGTGTGTGTGTGTTGTGTGTGCGTGTGTTGTGTGTGTGTGTGTGTACATGCGTTTGACTATGAAAAATGCCCTGAAAACTGGCATTGGGTAGACATGAAACCTCGTTCCTGCTCTTCTGTTTAGAGAATCTGACCTACCTGTAAGTTACAACTCTTTGGGTACTGTCTTCCTTATTTGTAAAATGAAAAAATTTTAATAAATGATTGCGTCCTCAGTCATAGTCTTTTCAAAAAGTAAACAAATGACATATGACATGTTAGGAATGGCATGTGTTTGTTATTAACATAGATGCTCTTTAAACATACCTAGCATTTATTTTAGATAGGTCTATACAGGCTAATTTTTATTCAAATATATGCAAATTATGCACTACTCCCTGTGGGAAATTTTCTGAAGGGAAAATTGGGCTTAAATATCAGCACAAAGATGTATAGTAGTTGAAGATTAAGTTTATGTAATACACACAAATTTAACATAGATGCGATCCATATGTTTACATTATACTTATATATGCAAAGATATGCATTTATATATGTTCATTATATATATTTATTTAGTGTTATTGCATTGGAACTTTTTATTTAAAGAAATTTTCAAGAAGAAATACTTTTTCCCCCAAAACAGGACTTTCCAAAGAGAGCTTGCATGTCTCCACTGTATTCTCTTATTTGCTTATTAATCTAGTTATTAATAGAAATTGACCCCAGTATCTGATAGAGAACCACTGAAGTAGAGATTCCTGGTTGTTATGTTTTCAGCTTTGTTATGCATGAGAAATAAACCCATTAATATTATTATATCCCTCTCTGAGCATTATGGGTGACGGCCTTTAGTAGTGGAGATTGCATTCAGGGCCTTCCACTTGCTATGTAGGTTCTACCCCTAGAGTCATGCCCCCAGACTGGGATGTAGATTTAATTCTTCTTCAGGTAAGAGTGCAGTTCTTTTTGAACATCACCTCTTCCTTCACTTTCTCCCAGTTTCTCCTTCCCATCCTTACTTATATTCTTTAAATGACAAAGATGCTAATCCATAACTTCTTCTCTGCCAAAAGAAGGGAACACCCTGTAGTGATTTCATTCTGAGCCATATTTTCATTTGCTTGCTTTTTAAATGGCATACCATGAAATCCTAAGCCACGTCCCAGTAACTGAATATCTTGTTAAATTTACTGATGGTAGTTTCTCATTTCCTTCTGATTTATTTTCTGATAGTAAAGGTTGATGTTGGATAGTTTGAATTTATAACACATACAAAAATCCTGTTTGATCAAGGACTGGGGCTATGTTTTCTGGTTAGTTCCCAAAAGCCTTTTGAATATGCAATGTAATAAGAGGATAAAATAGTAATAGTTTTATGTTGAGGTCTATAAGGAAAGTTAGCAGAGAATGTGTTTGATTTCACTGCTATACTCTCACAATAGTGGGCTTCTTCTCATCACCAAAGACTTTGGAGGTGTGAGTGAGGTAATGTTGCTAGTGCATTCTCCTCATTCCATAGATATTTATTGAATATCTATTAATTTTTTGGATGATGAAGCTTGAATAGATCTGCGTGGCAGAAGGCACCTTTCAATACAGGTATTTATTGGACAGGAGACAAAATCAGTGTAGGTTCTGACGTATTCCTGTAAGGTTTATAAGTCAGATGTTATCAGATCTGGCAAGTATTTGATATTACCATTTATACAAGCTTAAAAAAATCTCATAAGACATCTACTCTAGCAAGTTCAAACCACTTAAAATGAAGTAGTACTTAGCACTCATTTGGAATGAGAGATTTCCTTCATTTCTGTGGAGCTACTAAAGCTATACAGTGCTTTTGTTGTCATGCAGCAAGTTGATTTCTAAGTTCTCTGATTCTGTTCTTACAGCTAAACTTGCTTTGTGCTTAACTTAACAACTATATGTTTAAAATTCACCACATAGCAGATGCCACTGGTCTTCTCTCAATGTAGGTTCCAAAGGGGTTTTTCAACTAATTTGGTGAGTCTTTCTTCATGATCCAAGATTAGTTATATAGCCAGTTCTATTGTAGACATATAGGAAACACTTTACTAGATGCTGAGTATGCTTTAGAACATTAAAAGTTAGTTCTCCTTTAGGGAGAATCTTTTTTTTTGTCGGTCATGGGGCTTGAACTCTGGGTCTGAGCGCTGTCCCTCAGCTCTTCAGCTCAAGGCTAGTGCTCTACCACTTGAGCTACAGCGCTACTTCTGGTTTTCTGGTGGTTTATTGGAGATTAGAGTTTCATAGACTTTCCTGCCTGGGCTGGCTTTGAACCACGATCCTCAGATCTCAGCCTCTTGAGTAGCTAGGATTACAGGCGTGAGCCACCAGCTCCCGGCTAGGGAACTAATCTTTAACCCTTGATACATTTCCAGGAGGCAAATGCTACTTTGAATGACCCAATTTTGCAGATATAGAAACTAACACCTTGAGAGACTGAGTAAATCACTAAAGCAGATTTACATTGCTGGGATTCAGACTCCTGTCTGAAGTCCTCTGAGCATTGTTTTCAATGCTATACTATCCTACCTTCAGGCTTCATTTGTTGTTATTAATGGATTTTATGCTAGTACCCTGATACTGGATACATAGTCTATAGATCAGATGGTTAGGAATGCTCTCAAGTCAAATTTAAGACAAAAGCAATTTGATTAAAATGGTATAGCTTTATATGGCTAATGACTAGCCTTTCCAGGCATACATGTACCTTAAAAAAAGAATTTTTTTTTGTCAGTCATGGGGCATGAACTCTGGGTTTGGGCACTGTGCCTGAGCTCTTCAGCTCAAGGCAAGCACTCTACCACTTGAGCCACAGCACCACTTTCAGTTTTCTGGTAGTTAATTGGAGATAAGAGTCTCATGTACTTTCCTACCTGGGCTGGCTTTGAACTGCAATCCTCAAATCTCAGCCTCCTAAGAGGCTGGATTACAGATGTGAGCCATGGGTGCCCAGTTTTTTAAAAAAAGAATTTTAGTAGCTCAAGTAAATCTCTAATGGTGAGAATTTGAAGAAATAAGGAGTT